TGATATTATCCCGTGTAGTCTCAAATAGGGACCCGTTCCGGCAAGCGCGAGGGTAGAAGATGTATTTGTTCTAATGCATATGTTAGTAGCAGCTCATCTAAAACAACTTGGTATGTAGCTACCTCGTCATGTCAAACTATCAGATGAAGCTCGTAATCGCAAGAAAAAAAGGTTAAATTGTTTTTTTTGCAAAACAATCTCCAGCTATCGTTTGGTCGTCTTGCTAGTGTACAGTACAGTACCCTTCGAAACAGTCAGTAATCTCAAACACTTCTAGAAAGATTTGTTAGGTCTCAACACGTTGAAACGAGGGGTTTTCTCACAACAAAGGTACGGTTGTCCGAGTTAAGAGGGGTCGGAGTTGATCTCCAGGGACCGCACAATAATTTCCATCCGATCGAGCGAAGGGACTCCTTTTTCCACCTCCGCTGCTCACCAAACCTGATTAGTCTTCAAGCCCGGCAGGCGCAAAAAAAATATAGCATAAAAGCTACAGCGCATGATCTCGGTTTAGTAGGTCTACCCAATCAGAAACTACCAGGTTCTATGGGCATTAGGATCGTGCATACCCACGATTTATCAAATTCACACACTCGAGTACGGTACCGGTAACCGACCATTTCCACTGCAGATACGAGTGATCGTCACACGTTCTTCCCCTCTGGTGGGCTGAGAAGGTGAAAGCAGCTTTTTGGCGAGTTTCGGTCAAACTTTGGACAACAAATTGTCTGAGAGCAGACGCGTGCCGATATGCACTGCGGGTCGAGCCACACATAAACTACCAAGGCCAGTGATCTAACTGAGAAAGTGAACTTTCTTTGTGGTGTTGAAAAAGCGCCAAGCGGACACGTACCGCCTGTATGCACAAGACCACCTCCGACCAGTGCCAGCTCGACTATGGGGAAAAAAATTTCAAGCTTCACAGGGATCCTGAACCACTGCCAGTTTCTCCATCACATCGCCAAGGTGGCCAGTAGATGTCGCAAAGGTCATCGGTCTATTGGATAAGCATCATCGTTTCCGCTTAAACGCAGACACAGGTTCCATTCCCCCCTCCCCCCCAGGCGCCCGGAATATCCCCCCGTTGGGAAGGATTCAACACCCGGAAAAACCGCCGGGATGCTTCCCCGCGCTCCAAAATCGGAGTCTCAAGCGCACCTGCACCATTCCGCTCCGAAGTCTGTTGTTGGAAGAGGAACGCTTGACCACCCGAACACGCAAGCGAGCACCGTTGTGGAGTATCCGAGTGCGACATAGCCGGGGGATACAATTCGGGTCCCAGTTCCGCAAATTTGGGACTTGAAGCTACGTGAAAGTCTGGCTCTTGGGACACAAACACTCTCCATGGATGAAGCCGGTTTTTGTTTTTATTTAAGCAGCGGTTGTGCCTTTGAGAGGCGTTAGTCATATATGACGCCTGTCGTCGATAACGTGTACAAGTACAGTACTGTACTGTACACAGGCGATCAAGCTTCTCTTCCGCTATTTTTTGACCCCGCTTTTCACCTTCCTGTTTGGGAAGGTGGTGGCAGGTGTCAACACCACACACTACCACCTCACGATCTCCTCTCCAGTGCTGAACTTTGGAAGCTTCATAGGCCTGGACACCAAACCTCATCATGGGGTTAAACGAAATTTTCACCTCCTCTGTTATTGGGCTTTGGTCCCTTTGCCAGATTGTGATTCCTGTCCTCCCCCTCCCTCCATGGTGGCCACCTCGGCTAAGCTGTGTGAGGTTGCGAATACTCCTTCACCCCACTGAGTTCTTTTGCTCAGTCGGGTTTACTTCTTTACCAATGTCTGGATTACTCAGTAATGCGTGGTTGGCATTGCACTGCCTCCCGTCATGCCTCTGTTCGACTAGCCATAAACAATCACTCCACTGGAGGCTGGCACATCCAGGTTGGCTGCCTTTATTACACAAAGCTAACGCATCATGGTTTCCCCCTATATTCCTAGCTGCTAGCCAAGGCTGGACCGGTTGAAAAATGGGGAATGTGGTTTATCAAGGTGGTTTTCTTTGTTTGGTTTCTTTTGTATTTTCTTTCTCAAGAGAATATGGTATGAGTTTTCTTGTTGGCTCCTGCCAGTCCTGTTTTGTGTTTTTTTTGTTTTGTGCAGAAGGAGCTTTCATGGAGGTGGATGTGCGGTTGGCCCCATACCAGAGGGACTTGGGCTGGCTTGTTTTCCCCTAAGCCTGTGGAGGAGGTTTTTGACCAACATGTCTAAGGACTAAATCAGGGGTGTGGGGCGGTTATTGCAGAGGTGCCCTTGTATCTAGGATCTATGCTTTAGCCAGGCTGTGCTCTTATAGTGGAGGTTTGTACCTTTAAGCAAATAGATTCTACGATTTAACAAAAAAAAAAAAAAAAAAACTGTACACAGGCGATTACTGTGGGGGAACGCCATGGCATCGGCCCAATATAGGGATTTCATCACAAGCAGACTAGGTTATTAAAATACCCCTTAAAAACCATGGATTGAGGCGGAATTGAACATAAACCCGTTTTATTTTACACTTGTTGATCACCAAGGCGTGCCCCTCCGCTATTCCTGGTACGCACTGCCGGTGGCTGTCACCGTGCCTTGAGTTATTCACTGAGATAAGGGAGGAAAACGCTTCAATGCAGACGGCCAGTACGAGTACCCGACCGCTATATGCAGCGCTGCGCATGTTCCGCGCCGGTAGGTTCATGGGCAGCTGAAGAAGTTGCCCGTATCGTTACCACACTTACTTGCTTGTAGTATTTGGTTGGCTGCTGGCGGACTGGGCGCGCTCGTGGTTATATAAGATTTGCGTCTTTTATGCCCGGTCCCGGTAATCCATGCATGCACAGCTTAGGCTCCAATAGCCCTACCAAGATGTCCGCCTCGAGTGATGCATTATGAACAGGGCAGGCCTAATTCTGCTTCGCCACTCCCTGAACGCTAACATCTGGCATGAGTGCCCTATCCGATCAGGCAATCTGATGATACGGTGCCTAAATAGTAAACATAAGCCAGATCAGTCACGTTGTAGTATAGTAGGAGAACTTACCCGTACGAGTAATGTACAGTACTCGTACCCCGCGTGCCGCAGGCTCAATGCCTAGCCCGAACCTCCATATTCGAGGCGGAATCCCTCCGGGAAAAGGCCCAACATTTCTATCGTAACCAGAGAGCCCAATTGGTGATCCATCCGGCAACTCCCTTTTGCTAGGTATCATACATAGGAAAAAGCGCCTCATTTTAGGTCCAAGCCCTTCTACTCGAGCACGTCGCCCGATGGGGGGAGGGTAGATAACTGCTCGCGTATAATCCCGTCTGTTTCCGCGGCGCCGCCAGTGAATGACGTGTTGCGGGACTGGTATTGGGCGATCCAGAAGCGTTGGTTAGCCAATGATATCGTCCCCCGACCCTGGCGAGACAACGACGGGAGTTTTTGGCTGCACGCTCTCCCGTCCTTGTTGCCTGTCCGCAGTGCAGGAGGGTTTGTGGACGGTTGTCATCCTGTTGTGCGAATAGGGTACTCCGGATGGTGCTCTGTATATAATAAGCATTGGGCAGAACTGTATGGTATCGGTATTGTGCTTCGTGATCACTGCGGCTCTTGTGGTCGTTCTGTCAACGAATTAGGTGCCTCAATTGCCATGTCTGTCCCATCCGCGGGCCTAGACCGTGCGCCTTCGGCCCTGACGGGAGAGGGGAATGTATCCTGCGGTTTGACTCATTAGGTAGTACTTGTAGAAGTATCGATTCTACCTGCTACCCAACGCTCAAGGTGGGGGGCATTCCTATCCCTACTACCGTAGTGCAAAATAACTCAGATATACCTCGTGATGCACAGCACTAACTTCTCTATCCCAGCAGGAGCAATTAATTTTCACAACTTAGGACCATCCTCATATAGCTCCGCAAGCAATAGTCACTGCTTGCCCAAAGGCTATCCTAGGAAGTTTCTCCCGGTTTGCTTCTTATATCGCGTGTCCAAAAGAGATTGCGCCTTTCTCCAATAATCCTACAAGTACAGAGGTAGAGGCTCACGTAGTCATAAAAACTCACTCGTACCACAGAGCCAAGGAAACAGCGCCTCACAACCCCACCCCCCTTTGATAGCCCTCCATTCAAGGCTACTATCAAGAGCGTGCGATAGATTGTCTCCTAGTTAGTCATATCCCAACCTTGTAGGAACACACAAACCTCACTGGTGGGCGGAGGTAAGGCGCTCGGAAGAAAAGGGACAAGGCCGACTGAAGAGCACATCATAGCACAGCTATTTCCCTTAAATCATCGGGTGGCGGCAATGCATGATATGCCTCTTCCTCCGAGCCTTCCCACCGGGATAATTCCGTGCTTGAACTTGGAAACCATTCAAACCTCCGGAATGCTGCTGCGCCTTTTGTTTTGATAACATTAGACTTCCGTAAGGCCTTGACGATTCCCTGCGGTCCTACTCAAAGCACACGCCATCCCCGAGATATCCAACTTGAGCGCCTAACCCACCTTCGAATTCCGCGAAAAGGCCATGCTGGCGCAGGAGCTAAGAATTCATAACTTGTCAACCCACAGCCACCATCCATATCCCAGGAATCCAGCTCTCAAGCTCATCGCAAGGTGTTGGCTGAAGGGGGGATGGTTTGGTGAAAGAGAGTTAAGAACAATCATCGTATTTAGGTGGAGAATAGGAGATTGGGAGAAAAGAATCCTAGACCAACCCAATGAAGGCCTTTCGGAAATTCAGACTTAAATTTAGTATGAGGTGCATGGCCCGATTCTGGTCCCAGGCACGTCCGGGCGCGAGGTTTGACACTAGTGGCAGGGAGGAAGGCAGCACTGGTTAGCACAGTCTCAAGTAGCCAATACAACCCCGGAGACACGAGATGTGGCGAGTATCCCTACTATAAGAGTTTTAATAATATGACGACGTCATTTTGTAATTACCTCGTCCCCTTGTCTTGTAGTCTTTCTTGAAAGGGTTTTGCTTCAGGTTGCCTTTTTTCTACCATATCTCATCCTGTGGAATAGTCACGGTGATTAGGAAAAGAGGTAGTATCATAATTCGCATGGTTTTTATACGATAATTAACCAATAGCTAGCGGATAAGAATCCAATAGCAAATAGTGAAGAGCTCTGAATATGCGGCACAACACCTGAACATGTTACATGCCCCTGGATGTATTTCCCGATATACCATACATCACAGAGTAATATAGCCTACTGCTCCCCATCATAAGCCCAAGGTCTATTTATCCAATCTGCTACGAGTACATGGGCTTGAATAAGCCACCCTTGTGCTTGGACATTACCGCCACTTCTCCTAGTGCTGTCTAGATCTTTTCTCTCTTTCCTTCCGATTTGGCTCGGGGGGGGTGGGGCAGGTTTTTTTTGTTGTCCTTTACCAAAGGGAGCTACTTTATCTTTTGAGAAGTACATCCACATCTCGAATCAAAGTACCATATAGCACCTGGAAATGTCAGTATATACAGGCTGACATGAGTATCGATGCACAAGTTCCAGCTCCAGGTAAGTAGGTGCTACCTGACCATTCATAAAGTGTTCGGATGCCTTGGCGCCAGGATTCCATGTTTGGACGCAAGTTGGTATACCTTGGTGCCAAAGCATCCGAATACTTTATGAACGGTCAGGTAGTTGATCACCTGCACTGGCACACTCCCATGGGCTGTTCCACATTCGCTACGAGTACTTATCCACCCCAGCGGGGCATATAACACACGTGCATACATTTGCCGGAGAAAACCTTCCTGAGCTTGACCCAGGCATCTTTGACATGTTTTGAACAGCATTCCATCCCCGCAGGAACCCCCGAATGCTCACGCCTAAAATGCACTTGCTTAAGGATCTGTACCACGGACGTTCGAAGAACCCAATTACCGTTGCCCATCGGTCATTCGGTAACAACGATTATGTGTAGATTTTTTTGCCCCCCTACCTCATCTTTTATCATACAATGCTAGTATGATACAAGTACAGTAATTGCAAACCCAAACTCGAACGGACGCGCGGGAGAGGTCTCACGAGTTTATTCGACTCGGTCCGGTAAACCGCTCATATATGCACCCACCCACCATCCCCATTCAGCCTACAATACAAGCACAAAGCGTAAAATCCCCCCCCCTCCATTGGTAGCAATAACAAAAATAATATAAATCCTCGAGTGACGCCGCGTGACGCTTACTATCTTCAGAATACTTCAGAGGGGAAGATGGAGAAGGAGAAATCGTGAAAGTGGTTGAGATCAGTGAACAGGAGTAATGGCGATACGAGTTAAAATAAAGTCAAGCTAATAAACACCTTCAGCCCTAAAGAGAAAAACTAATAGCGAAAAAAACAAGAAAAAACAAGAAAAAACATAATAATATTGTATCATATCTCTACCGTGCACTTGGGCCCAACATGTCAGAATCCAAGACCAAGAAAACTGGTGGATCACGTCAGGTCAGACCAGACCAGCAATACAGGTAGGCAACTACGAATGATACGATACCGGCGTGCTTTATCATCCCCCCCCATACATAAATAATGAACAGCATCGCATCACTAGCAACCGAACCCCTGCCAAGGTAAACCCGTCAGGACTATACTTTCCACGAGTGACCACCAATGACGCACCCACACACCAGAAGACACAGGGAGTAAGTAAATAAGCAAAAGCGAACAAATAGACCAATAGAATGAGTGGGCAGAACAAACAGGTAGACGGGCAGATGGATGGATGGATCGGAAAGTTGCACGCAATAGAATAAAAATTCATGTCTGTTTTTCCATTTTTGTACCCTCCCAACTCCGACCCCGACCCAGCCCGGACAGCTCCCCTGTTTGTCATAAGCTCAGCCCACGGCTTCAGCTTAAGCCAGTCCAACCCAACCTAACCCAGCGACACAACAAACTTAACCATATGCCATGCACACCAATTTTAGTCCCATGCAAAGGAGAAAGAAATAATAAACACCAAGCGGTAAGAGAAAATAAAAAGTATGAAAACGGATAATGAGGGAGATAAGGAATCAGAGGAGAGAAAAAGGAGAAAGAAAAACCCATGAATTGATGATACTGAAGTAGGGAAAAACGAAGGTAAATCCGTTACAAAGAATATCCCGTTTCAAGGGGATAGGTTAGTTTCGATGTCACTAGTATCCGAACTATGAGAATCGAAATGTCTGTTTAAAACGGAACGAAAGAAAGGGAGGATAAGAGGGAAAGGGAGAAAAATAAAAGAGACCAAATGTCTGGTTAATGTATACAGCAGAAAGGGATGGGTGGGAGAGTTGGCGAGGGAGATAAAAGAGAGAAACCCCTGTCATATCCCGCATTCCGAAATTGTGTCCCCACGTTTATTCAACATATCCGGGATGCTTGCCCCCCAACACCCATCGCCTATTCGTGGCCAATGCCCTCCATACCCCGGTTCCAATCCACCCTATTGTGAGCCGACATAAAATACATCCCGCCTTGGCGTACAATTAGGCAAGAGTAGAGTGCAGAGTAGAGTCAATAGAAACCCGAAGAGACCTGAGCAAAAAAAGCCAAATGACGCAAAAAGGGATGAAAATATAACAAAACACCAGTGAAACAAAACCAAAGGAATTATTTTCGTTGAGGTTGGGATGAGAAAAAACCGATAGAGACGCCAAATGAAAATTAAGATTGATGAAAAACAGAGCCAGGCCAATTTCTTTTCCGAAAAAAGCTGAGTAAAAAGAGTAGAGGAATCTAGGTTCGCTGAACTTGAAAGTGATAATGGATAACTAAGTATCGCAAGAGAGATGGAAAATAAGGAAAAGGATGGACATGGTTGATAGCTGAGAAAAAAGAAGGAAAAAAAAACAAGACGCCGAATTTGTGCTTTTTATTGGAACAAATACCAGCTAACATTTTGTTTTTCGCCATCCAATCAACCTCATTTATTTATATCAGCCATCAAGTAACGTCGTCTGTCACACAAAATAACTTCACGTCGCGGTTGGAACGATCCCCCTAGGATGCAGCTAAACTGCAAATGTCTGATGCATCGAAGTTAGTCGCAAAAATACCATAAAAAGACCTTTCAAAGGAATTATACTATAGTATATAGCTCTGCAAGCTGTCCGTCCTTCTTCTCAACTCCACCCTCAAGAAAGCCGTTCACCTCTGCATCTAGAAGCTCCTCGATACTTTGCCTGTGATGCAACTTGAGGCCATCGTTTCCCAACACAGCCTTAAGTTTCTGAGGTCCATACTCAAACCCATTCTTCCCATCGACCTTTGCCAGTCGAACGAAGTCTTGGACCAAGTTCTCGCTAATACTCTCCCGATAATTGAGGGAAGATTCGTAGAAATTAAAAAGACTCTCCAAGCCCGACCTCAAAGAATGGTTGGCGTCCTCTAAGGCATATTTCCTGAAGTCGCTGTACATCCTCCCGTTGAACTTTTGGGGTAGGAAGTGGGACCAGAAACGGTACAGAGTGGCCATATCGCTATTCTTAGTAGGTTTGGTGCTCTCTTTCCTCTGGCTCACGGTCTGAGAGAGAAATTTACCATAAGATCTATGGACAAGCTTTTTGGGAGGCGTGTTCGGAGTTTCAGTGCTCCCTTGAACGTCTTGTGACAGCAACCAACCAACATCGCCTTGGGCATTCATAGATCTATCACCCGAATTTCCAGGGAAAACTGCGCTGGAAGGAGATACCATGCTAGAGTCATGTCTTTTACCGGGTAAGCACTGCGCACTGATAATTAGAGGGCGGGGAAATGCGTACCCAGACATGTCACCATTAGTAAGCGTTGGTGACACAATGCCATTCGAGCGAGGCTTGGAAGGGGAAGCTACGGGTGAAGACGGTTTACTGTCCCCGGCAGGGCGCTTGACAACAATAATCAATTGGTCAACATCGGAATCGGGAAACTCCTGATCCACATGTTGTGGCACGAAGACATTGGATAATCCGTTCATATTTGCGAAAGATGGCGAGAACTCCGGAACTTCAGCCGACAGTAGAGTCCCATAGTTTCCCATGCCGCCCGCAGATTGAGGATAGACACCCCCAGATGGAATAAACGGAGGTGCGCCAACGGCTATAGTACCCAAAGACCTGTTCCTCCTAGGATCAGGGTTGAAGGGCGGGGCAGAGCCTGACATTTCACCTGGTACACCGTTCTGCAAACCGAGTAACCTTGGGTCGCCACATGCCAGTGCACGCGATCCACGAGCAGATGGTTCACGCTCCTCCTCAGCCAAAGTCCACTTTTCCCACCCTTCTGCTTTGCGGAGATACCAATCATCAGGGCCAGGTATAAGGAACAAATCCTGAGACTGCATACATGCATCCCTGAGCATATTGGGATCTTGCGTCAAGCCTCTGACTCGGTTAAAGTTTGCAATGAACGACAATGCAACAAAACCCTCGTTATCCATATGCTTTCGTAGATACATATCCTTGCAAAGGTTATCAACCGAAAAGTAGTAATTGCTTTCACCAATGTCAGTATTAAACTTCAGGGCGTGGGCTTAGGTGCAAAACTTACATCTGATTGGTAATTTCTGGCAACGGTGGGAATGCAATACCCACCATTGGAGCCTCGCCCGGTGGCACCATTTCAAATCCATAGGGCACCTGGAAAGGCACGAATGGCGGTGACTGCATATGGGGATTTGGAAACCTGTTGTAGACTGCCGTATTTGGCAGTGAGTGCGCTCTCGAGGAACCCCTGTATGATCTGCCCGATGCCTGTGGATTCTGAGACGAATACTGGCCATTGGTATGGCCCGGGTGGAAATTTTGGGGTGTAGAGTTATAAGAGCCGGAACCGGCATGATGACCACCGTTGTGGTGATTATTTGAATATTGTGAACCATAGAAGCTTCCGTTCCGCCCCCTGTGGCCGCCGCGCCCGCGGGGCTCCATTCCTCTCTCGCGCGGAGGATGCGAAGAGCCCCCTTCAGCAGTTGAGTAATCGGATCGATTATTGAAGGATCGATAAGGAACGCGTTCTCCCGAGTTATGATGCAAGTTTTGGCCATTTTGGTAATTGCGGTCCTGGCCCTCATTGGGCTGGCGCGACTCTCCTTGTGCACTGCTTCCTACCTGATCTGCTGCCTTGGCCCCTGAGCCACTAGGCAGCCCGTCGCCCTGCGCCCCTGACGGCTTTACCGATTGGCCAGGCCCAGAATCAGGTTCGACGCCATCTTTCACAAACTCTCTTTTTCTTTCGCTAGTAGCAGTCGGCAACGCAACCTTGGAATCACGACGCTGGGGGGTTCCACCAGCACTTGTAGCCCGTTTGCCACCTTTCCCGCCCTGATAGCCCCCACGAGCTGCACTCACACCGGCGCCTTGACGGCCACGCTCATTTTCAGACCCATAAGTATTCCTCTCCCCAGCCTGATAAGAAGCCCCAGCCCCCCTACCGCCACCTTCGCGAATTGAACGATTGCTCCTGCCTCCACGAGGTGCTTTGTATGGTTGTACGTACTCCGGAACTATCTCAGCCGCCGCAACCCAAACTTTGTTCCCTCGAGCTACAGGCGCATTAGGCCTGTCTTTATCAGCCCTCTCCTTCTTGTATTTCTCCGCCCCATCCTGGGCCGTCTCTGGTGTCGGCCAAGATTCTGTGTCCGTTACCGGAGGAGGAAGGACAGGGGCAGTTAGCTCCTTCTCTTGTTGACCCTTCTTCCCCGACTTTCTCGGAACTCCGCCTACAAGATCGGTGCAAGTTAGCGGATCAGTGGTCCACAGAGATCGTATGTACGACGATAGATTCATACCATCCATTCCAACAAAACCATTAACCTTAGCAGCCTCTCCACCCTTCCTACGATCCTTTGCCTGAGCATCCTTCCAGTCCCCAGTTGTGCTCGATAGCTCTTCACCCTTCCCCCTATCGTGAACTTCAGACGGGTCATTGGCTGGAACTTCCTTTCCCGCAACTACCCCTCGCTCAGCCAACCCCTCACTACTAGCCTTTGCGGAGGCAGCGTTAGGACCCGCCATAGACTTCGGGAGTGCTGGGATGGCAGGGGCCGGAAAAGGGGGTTTTCTGGCGATACTCTCGGATCTTACCTTCCAGGGATTTACTGGAGGGATAGAGGCGGGGATAAGATCACCGCCCCTATGAACATCTGGCGTTCTACTTCCAGAACTTGACTTGTTATCCGCATGACTAGACGTCTGGGACTGTTTCTCCCAAGAATTTGCCTTGTCTTCCGGCACGGACAATATAGCTGACAGAGAATCGTCCTCCTTGGACACAACCGATGACGAAGTTCCAAGGCCAGGTGATGGAACTGAAGCAGCCGGGGGGGCGGCCCTCATATCTGAACCCCGCTTTAGATAGGAATCCGGCATCGCAACCGAGTGGGGGGTAGAAGTCCTTATCGTTGGAGCGGTACCGCCGTTCATGCTGTGCGCTGTTGATGACGAAGCCGATACAGGATGTTGTGTGCCTGCGGAACCGTTTGAAGAAACAACAGGATTTTTTGAAGTAGCAGATTGCGATCTGGTTGTCGGGCCAGTAGAGTTCTTCCCAGAAGCCGCAGCGGCGTAAGAGAATGTATTCTCCGTGGAGTTTAATGGCCTGCTTCCAGACGTAGTCATGGCACGGAGAACGTTTATAAGAGAGAAAGTTGTACCTCTATCACAAGAATTCAAGGGGAATGATGCGAAAGGCTATTATGACCTAACACAAATTCCTATGGAATATGAGAGAGGGGAATGGAAGTTGCCGTACTTCGTGGGGTTTTCGGAAATTGAGCCGTCAACAAAGTTGCAATAGCCCAGGGACGACAAAACCCGCTTTCAAAAAGGAAAAAGGATGACGGGGCAATCAAACTCCTAACAGTTGCAGAAACTCTCACAAAGAGCAGAAGCAAACCAGAGAACAGGTGCCTTCTTAAGTCGCCCAGGACCTACGAGGGATATTATTCTCCCAAGAGGTTCGTCCGGAAACTCGTGGAAAAGCGAAACCGTAAGACAACGCTGGTTCGTTGATCCGTTTATTTATTTATTTTACCGACAGGAAAGCAACGTACGGCGGGTGCTGAGCGAGTACAAGTAACCCAGGTAAGGTACCAGAACAGTCGGTCGACGGAAGTGTGTTGACTAAAAGGAAAAGAGGCGTTTCTGCCTAGAAGAAAGGGAAACGTGGACTTTCGTCAAGAACTGTGACAGAACGGGAATTCGTTCGGTGAAAGCAGTCGTGGCAGGGTCGAGAAACAATAGCGAGCCGAGGTTGACTGTAGACCGAACCGAATCGCTATCGGAGGGAAAGGAAGCTAGAAGGAAGCGAGAGCGACAGAGTTGAGTGGGAAGAGAGTCGAAGGAACTTTTGTTTCCTGAGCGGATAGAAAAGGCCTTTGGCCCCTCAAAAAAAAAAAATCCGGCGGATTGCTGGAGAGTCACCGATGTCTGCGAGTTGGAGGTTAAGAATGACGACGATGGGTCAGCAATAATAACTTATCGGAGAAGAAAAAGCCCTAAAAGGAAAAAAAATCACAAAAGGAAGAAAAATATATAAAATTACAAAGTGAGGGAGGGAGGGATAAAAAAAATAAAAAAAAACCCCGGACCACGGAAGCAGACCGGGCAAACACGCATCGAAACAATAGAAGAGAAAACGAACGCATTCAGACTTCCATAAATAAGGCTCGTACCTGATCAAATAACACACACAAAAAAAAAAAAAAAAATTTCAATGGGTCGTAGGGACAGACTTACTCCTCTTGACACCTTTATTTTTCGTTTGGTCCCTGGGCTCGCAGAGGCAAAAAAGAAAATGAAAGAAAATTTTTTGAAGAAAGGATTGGAGTGATCGTGACTGCTTTGGTTTAGTGAGAAAAAACTCCAAGGAAATCCCGAAGGCCCCAAGCGTGGATCACGGTAAAGGGAAAAGAGGTGTAGGTATTGGAAGGGGGAGGAGAGGTGTTGGGATGGAGAATCAATCAACGGGCTTGCGGTGAGGTCGATCCTGCCAAAAACAGCAGAAAAGCGCAAGCAGCGCTGGGGAACGTTTCGCTAGTGGGGTGGGGATCGGGTGGAGAGTAGGAGAAGGCTGTTAAATGGGCCGTGAATGAGGAAAAGAGTGGTGAATGGTGGTGGTTGTGCGGAAGAGTAGGATGGGGCATAAAACACAGGACAGTCCCGCAAAACGAGACGAATAGAGTGAGATAGTGTGCCCTAAGGTATACCAGAGGGTAGAAACAAAGGTAAAAAGGATGGAGGAGAAAGGTGCAAGTGAAAAGGTAAACGAATTGAAAAAATTGTGCTCAAAAAAGGAAGACAAATTGAGGCTCGGTGGGGCAAAATGAGGGGTTGAATTGAGGGCAAAAAAACGAATTTTTTTTTTTTTTCCTTCTCCTTTCCTTCCTCCTTTCCTACCCTGACGCTCGGTACGGGAAACTCTCGTCCAACGCTACTGATCGCCAGAGTCAAGAAAGTGAGTAAGATGGGGGGAGAGATGAACCCCGCCAAACACGACACGGTCTCTGTGTGCAACAGGTAAAAAAACAATCCCAGACAAAGATGTAACAATGGGTGAATAAATCAAAGATATCATACACGCAGACACAATGGACCGAATAGTTTGCTAAATTGGCCTAATCCGTTCAATATACCTACAAGAGAGTGTGTCAGCATTCGAAACACTCAACAAAGGTACTTATGACCGATTTTTGTCCGTCCAGTGCCGATATCTCTCCCTCTTTCGACAATTTACTGTGTGCATGTCAGTATCCTATCTGATCTCAATCTCACTCACTCTTTACCTTCAGCCCTCAAATCTGATCCAAATCAAATAATCAATCGACTCTTCTGGGCCCCCAATCTCTCTTTCTCTCTCACGCACTCCCCCATTGAGCCCTTTTCAACGCTAGCACTCAGCACCCCTCATCCAACGCCCACCACATCCATCCACCCATTCTTCCCCCTCTTCCCCCGCCCATGCGCGGCTATCCGTACCGCCCCCCCGAAGAGCCAATTATGCTCTGCGCAAAAAAAAGGGTTTCCCTGTCATGACATGCCTCATCCCGCGATGCTTTCTTCCCACATAAGTACTCGTACAGTACACTGTACAGTAAACCCTCTCATAATTCCAGGAGGCCAGTGAACGAAAAGAGCTAGATCTAGTAGAGGGTTAGAAACACGGGAGGTGTCTTGGCAATTAGGTGATAGAATACCGTACTCTATGGTGTGGTCGATTCATAAGTGATAGCACAAGTAACTCTACATTTATATATGAATCACGGAAAAGCAGATAAAAAAAACCTCCCTTATTCAACATCCTGCACCGCATATTCCTACTCAGCAGTCTGAAAATAGGACACGTTAGGGGTTTGAACCGTACGAGTACGAGTAGACTCCTCCACACTTTTAGCCCTAATTTCTGGAATTATGATGAATCAATTCCCCGGAAATAGGAATTATGGGTTAGAAGTTGCAGAGGGAAGGAATCCTCACAGTACCAAACCCGTTCTTACACAAGACTGGAAGCATAGAAGGGTTGGAAGTTTGAGAGGTTGAAATTAATGGGAGGGTTTACTGTACAGTATCAGACACTTGTATTTGTACACTACAGTTACATCGCCGGATCTCGTACATACCGACAAGCCACACGATTGGTGGGAATCCCGAGAGCCAAACCGGCGAGAAATATTTTCCTTCCATTGAAAAAGAAAGAGAGAGAGAAAAAGGCCTACCTTACGGTACCGCACTGGCCCGTAATCCCCGCCCAGCGAATCCGTTTATGATACGACACGGGCATAATATGGCGCTCAAGTTTAAGCCTATTACTGTAAAGAGAGCGCTGGAATTAATTGGAACAATGAGGAAGAGGTTAGAGCCTAAGTGTGTCAATGAATACCGGTACAAGTGTGTGCAGTACATGCGACATTCACCGTCACGTCGATGCAACGATTAAAATCGAAGCGCGGCGATGGTAACATACCGGTACTGTACGAGTACTCGAGTAAAACAAAGTCCAAGAAACAAAGCCGCGTTTCCTAAAACCAGCATCCAACATCACACTCGAGTGCAAATGAATCCCAGTCTGCCTATCATGTCACCACCTTTCGATCCTTTCCTTTCCCCCACCACAAAAACCGGAAAAGTGAATACAAGTACAAAGCGGGGAGGATAGGTTAGCCAACCAAAAACCAAACCAAACCAAACCAGCTCCGCAAAACGTAAGCCCAGCTCGAAAAAATGAAAGGGAAAACCTATGGTACAGAAACCCTAATTGGTGGATTAATGGAACAAATAAATAAAGTGAAAAATAAGCATCGGATCTAGAACCAGCTTCCCCGCATATCCGCTCCCTCCTCCTCCATCGACTAACTAAGCAAGCAGAGCAACCCCCACTCCATCCCCTCGTCCGAAACCTCCCCATATCCGAAAGGGCAAAGCATTTATTGGCCTTAACAAAACTAGGTCAACAAGACGGGGCCGTAACTACGATCTATCCTATCCATCCATCAGAGCAGATGCGTGATGCGACCAAACTTGACTTGCTGAATAAACCTCACCGCCAAGGCCCGCCTCCATCTGGCCCGGCAAAACCATTGACTCCCCGGCGCCCCGGTTTGGATGAGAGTTGGTGGAAACCCAAACCCAACTAGCACAGCGTGGCTGGGCGTGGTTTGGCTTCCCTGCATGGGAGGTAAGATCTCGTTACAGATCCCTCTGATTTGACAGGGAGGAGGGGGAGGAAAGGCGGGGATTGGGGGATTGCTATTGGGTTTCTTGATGGGGATAGGCTACGTGCTGAAGCAGTACCGGCAACTATACCTTGCTTTGCGGTAGTGCCGACTCGTGGTGGGAGAACGCCTACATTCGCAATCGCGCCGTGCTGCTTATTCGTCATGAATTCGTTGAAATTCTGGGGTTGTAGCATTTAGAGGGGCTCTTGGATCCACTGCGGGGAAGAGTGAGAGGGGGACGGATCGTGAAGACAGGGAGCGAGCACAGGTGATATATTTTTCCTTGTCATGCAGACAAATCGTGGAATAGATTATTTTTCCTCCTGCCTATCCTGTCAGTTGTGACGATTCCCCACAGCATAAATTGCTGCTTTGGTGGGGGTGACAGTGCCTTCCGTTCTTAGGACACTTCCGGACATCAAGGAAACTGGCGGTGGCCCAAGAGAACTACTCTACCAAAATCCCACCAAAGAGGCACCCGACCCAGAAGAGGTCCCGCAGTATCGTACGCTACAGTACTGCTCTGAAGGCACTACCACCCACTAGGGAAGTTCGAAGTTCCCGGTACGCCTCAAATTGACATACCGCACAAATACGGGTGCACCGGTATTGCTTTGAATGTTACCTGCATAAACCGCCACCAGGGCAGGTGTACGAGTATCACCGTAGCTTGCTTTTCCATGCTTTGTAAGTGCTATCATCTCGACCAAAATAAAAACAAAAATGAGATAATGGACACCGCTAGCATTAGTGAGAAAATTCTTCTTTTTTTCTTTTTTCCACCCGGTGTTGCAGACCACAGTGGGTAAGTAAGTACCGGTAAGTAGTGTAGATGACTTTGGGGACTTTCCATCATCCTTGGAAGGATTACGTGGGTGGGTAGTTATAAAAGTTTATGACTATTGCGTTGACCTACTTTTTATGATAATATTATGATATTTAGGGGAGGGAGAAAAAAATACTCCTCTCGGGGGAAGACGATTTTCTTTTTGTTAGAAACAAGAGCACTATCACTCTTCTTGAGAAACATTCCCTTGTGGCTCCCATGTGTTCATCAATCAGAGCAGATCCTCATATCATACATCTTTGAAAAAGTTTCTTGATCGACTTTATGCTTCATCCGGCAACTCACACCACTAGGATTTACCAAATCCCACAGAAGAACGCCGGAGAGGGAGGAATTCCATATGATGCAGCTTAGTTTGGACAATGGGTGGGAAATTGAAATAAGTGTAGTCTACCTCTGGACTTGGTATATGGGTACGGGTACTACCTACCCCTTGCCAAAAAGGTTTTACTGTGTACAGTACCGTATTTTCCAAGAAATGCACTTTTATCGAAGCACCCCATACCTTCCGTGTCCCGAGAACTTCGACCTTCCTTACCGCGGCTAACTAGAAGTCTGCGAGGGTGTTATATCTAACTCGTCTGTTGGACTTGATACATCTAAAGCTAAGGCAAGAGCAGAACACAGCGGACTGGGCTTAGCCGGGCCAGACCAGACAAATTGACAAATGTAGCAGTCAGGCCCCGATACGAGCGGGGGGGAAAGACAAAAAGTCAAACACGGTCCTGATCGGAGAGAGACACACACAACCTCATATTATACCTGTGTAAGTTAGCGGGAGCATGTAGACATGCATTCCTACAGGCTTAGTAATAATAGTATGTTAATATATCAAGCAAACTTTTAAATATGGGTTAATATCTGGAGAATTTCCATTAATTGTCTATGCCAAGAAGGTTAACAGTAATTAACATGTATAGGAGATCATCATTGCTGGCTTTAACCGAACGTTCAACATACTTTTGAACCAATCAACACCTCCATGCATGAAAAACTTGAGATATTTTTATCTTCTCTCTGTTAGCATGTATGGGATTACGTACTCCTCATCCATTGTCTAGCAGAGCCATAATTCTTCAAAGGAGTTGTCCTTTGGGAAGGGATCGAAGTTGAAGCATAAATCCTTGGCAAATCATGATACCCCGGCTACAGATGTCCATAATCAAATTACTCGAGTTGCCCGTGGGAAAAAGCGTCGTCTCAAGTTACCGTTGCCGTAGCCTTAACCGTGACTGACATCAACATCATATCACTACAATCTTTACCATCATCGTTCCCAACCGTGTCGTGGCCCTACTACCGGTAGGGGTATTGAAAGTTAGGAATGATGAGGACAGAAAGAATGAAAGAAAGAATGAAAAACCCTTCCTGGCTTGCATATAATTAGCGGGAGACATACGAGTACATGGTCAATGGGAAAGGGGTCGGGGGTTCAAACATTTTTTAGGCCGCCTGCTAACTCAGAGCGTGAACGGGGAAACGAAAGTGGGAGCTGGTAAGAACGCAACATACCAGTAGGGTGAAATTCCTACAGCGTACGAGTAGACTACTGTACAAACGTCCGCAGGAATACACGAGAATCGTGGGGGTGGAGTGCGGGGGGGGGGGGGCGCCATGATACTTGAAGCCAGCCTTCTTCACAATCTTTTGGCAGGTTTCTCTTAAATACCCGTCCAGTCGAGTATAGAAGCACCACCTGGTTTCGACTGTGCAGCAAGTACCGTAAGGGAAAACCCGCCCCCCAGCACGGGTACCATATCATACATCTCCGACTCGGGGCAGCGGTACCGTGCACCAGCTGCCCGACAATTTTCATATGTTCCTGAATAGAATTGCTCTCGCTTGTTGACTATCATACTTAGGCTGCTGCCGCGGTTACAAATGTCCCTCTTCTCCATAGTAGAAATCTGTAGCTCTCTAAATCACCGTCTACATACCAGAAGCTCTCTTCCGGGAAAGTATCACCATCCCCGGAGGACTTTCCCCCCCGCCGAGCTAGCCGAAAGTGATAGGCGGCTCCCCCCACCTGCGCGCAAAGAATTCCCCCCACTCCTATAGTACCATACCTAACCTCCGAGTACAAGTAGACTACCCCACTATTCCAAATACCCACTTCCCTACAAACCGGGCCCCCCCGTCCTCACCTCAACTCAGAAACTCACTTAACCACCAACATAGTGTTGATATCATAGTGAATAACACGAACGGGTAGCAATACCTACCTGTACAGTAAAGTACCCTCCACCCCCCTCCCCCCCTCCCAAGTGGAACGAGGCGAGGCGAGGCAAAGCAAGGGGGAAGGAGGTGGGGGGGAATAATCCCGAGATTTCGGAATTCCATTTTTCGATATCGGTTCGATGGCCGCTCTTGACGGATAGATTGGCGGACGGACGGACAGAACGGACCGGTTGGGTTGTGGGTACCATACATATCGTATCGTAGATAAGGTATGGGCCGGTATCATATCATCACATCCCATAACCCTACCGCCGGTAGGAGGGGAAGGGAAGCTCTCTCTCTCTCTCTCGCCGAAAAAAAAGTGATATATTGTGTCATAACGCGACAAAAGTGAGATACATCTTTTTCTCATTGGACTTAGGGAAAATGTGGTATCGTACTCGTACTTGTATTTGTACCGCACAGTAAACTGTGTGTTTTTTTTTTTTTCAAGGCAAGACGATGTATGAGGGCACCCACCACATCACCTGAGAAGGAAAAAAAGGACCTGTTTCGATACCAGCTTCTTTCGATGATGTCTCCATGCACTAGTCTACGGTCTCAATGGTTACACCACCTGCTGCGCCGGTGGTCTTTTTCTCTACTTACTGCTACTTAAGTACCGGCACGATACCAGAGGCTGCTGTACTATTATCCCCCTTCACACACTACAGCCCCCACATCTCTATTGGTTCACTTTTCTGCCCCGCCTCATTGATGCCTCATGGGATGCCTCATGGCAACTACGGTACCGGTACTTGGGCATCTTTCCCACCCCAAAGACACATCCCAGTGAAGTAAAGGTACGAAGAGATACATCAGACAAACCCTGCTCATTATTACTATTATTTCACAGCCAGGTAGAAAGGGCCTCAAAGCCCTCTTGTGATTCACGAGGCAGGTACTCTTTTCTTTTCTTTTTTCTTTCCAAATATCCACCATGTGAACAGACAGATGTCTTAGGGAGACCTGTGGGATCTTGTTTTGATTCACACGACAAATGATCTGAGCCTTTCAAGCCTTAGCCCTGCATCCATGCTGCAGCTCGTCTAGCCCCTAGTTGGCTCGCGAATCTCAGGCCTATGCAGTACGGGTATGCGTTAGAACGTGCTTCTTTCTCGACAGGCAATTTCTTTTTGCCCGGTACAAAGGTGACAAAATATACCTGATGATCCCATAGGGAAATACGATATGAGATACCACACCAAAGCCAGAAGTTGGATTATCGAGGAGATCAGAGTGAGGAAAAGAGATTGTACCTGGTTACGAATCGTTAGCATCCCATTTCATGATAGAATACCTCACGGGAACAATAGTAGGCCCAGTGACAAGACCATGGGAAACTTCCAGGGACCAGTGGAGAGACAAATTGTAAGGGGTTCAGACATACCCCAAGTGCAAAATATAGAGTCAGAGCTATACTTCCAAAATATGCTGCGGTGAATGGTAGTCTTGGGGTCGAAAGAAGGTGCGTCGCGTAGGCGAGTGGTCCCTGGAGAACCGCGAAGGAGGTCAGGAACAGTATCGATCCCACAGTCCAGCTGATACACTCAGTTAGCGACTGAAAATACTATTGGATGGCCATGTGGTTTGGAGAAGAAAGGACGGACGTCACTTACAGCACGGCGAATTTCCTGGGTTTTGTCGCAAGTATGGGGAATAAGAAAAAGCAGACGACAAAGCAGGCTGCAGCCCCCAGATTACAAGCCGCAAATACTAACATACGATCCCATCGGCTCACTATATGATTCGCTCGGAAGATGACGATCTAGATCAGCGAGAATTCCTCTGCATAGGCGAGCTTGCTTTTTTTCTGCCTAGTTTTCCTCCGGTTGATGCAGAAAATCGGTTTCGATTTCACAATACCAGAGCATCGATACCTCCGCGCCCCATCGGAGGGGTAGGGTGTGGACAACACCGCCACCACCTCCCTCCAAATGAGCTACATCCAGCATCGATGAGAAGGAAGAGTGAATGACATGAATATAAAACCAAGGAGACTAAGACTCACATACGAACCATCCCGCGTCCTCTTCCTGGCGAGTTTGAGTTGGGAGCTGCGGAGGGGGGTCGGAGCTATTCGTAGGAAGCCGAACATACCCCCCGTTACCAAAAGGATTCAGGGATGATAGTCTATTCATGAAGGGAGACGAAGAAGAAGTATTAGCGGGCTCGTCCCTCCTTGACCACCCCATAGAGTTCATCTGTGCCCGGAAGGATTCGGCGGCCATGGAGACAAAGCTAGAGGGCCGGATGAGAGACAGGTACTGGTATGGGAGGTGCGCGAGGTGCGTAGATGACTTCTTTGAGAGAATAAACAGCTGGGCCTGGAAGCTGGTGGAGAATTCGAAAAAAAAAACTCCCCCAGATTGTTTACTGAACTCGGGGTGTGTTAGAAATGCTCATGCGCCCTTTTTGATATCTTCTCCCTCTCTTGTTCTGGTTTTTTTTTTTTTAACGATTATTTTCGAACTGGTGAAGAATGTGGTGGCGATAAGAGAGGTGGCACTTGTGAATAAGGTACCGGTATGTGGCCAAGGCAAGTAAGACCTGGAACTTCGTTGTAGTGGAGCTTTGACTGGTAATTATCGTTTCACTGTACTAGCTTCCTTGGGAGGGGGGGTCTGGAGTGTTTTGGGAGCAGCTCCAGTGAGGAAAAAAGTTGGAGGGGAATGTGGAGAAAGCCGCCAAACTGCATCCGCGTAAGCCCATTTGGCTTGGGTAGAACGCCAAGGATTCAATGGAATGGGGTAACGCAAGTCTTGTCCCAAGGGGGACATCCTAAGACCATTTTATTTTTATCGCATCGTCTCATAGTTTTGTATTGAATGGGTTTAGTTCTATTGTGGGAATGAATGAAAGGAAAGAGACAGGGCATCGCTTACACTGCAAATTCCATTTCCCAAATAATAATATATATTTTTTTTTAAAAAAAATATTTCAAGAAAGCCCCCGCATTGAATCAGGGATCGAAGACCCAGCCAGATAAGTATTCGTGCATGCCGGTTAGGTATCGATGGCGGTCTGTTCTTATAGATTACAGGGGTATGAACCGCTTGTCTACCTCCGTTCACTGAGGGCGAGTGGGGCGGTGGAAAATTGGGTGTGCGGGTGGGAAGACATCGTGAAGTTACTGTTGAAACCTTGACCGAAAGAGGCCAGCCAAAGAGGGTGGGAAAAGCAGCAGTCATCTCTTCAGTTGGTCCTGTCCTCCTCTTTCCCTCCCTCTTCCTCCTCATCATCCTCATCCCTTTCTCCTCCACTCGATTCCCAACCAGCTTGCAGTTTCCATCATCCCATCCATCTCCATTAAAATTGATCCCCGCCGTGTATTTGTTGCTGCTTCTAATTTACCCCCCTCTCGCCCATCCCCCCACCCTTCATCACCACAATTTGTGCCATTCTCCCTCTCCTTTATTCTGGGTGTATTATCGCCACAGCGTCAGTGTATCTCTCGCAGCTGCCACCCGGATACCCTTCCTTACCCTTATCCACATATCTCCACCGCTCACCAACCTCCCACTTGTATTTTCACTGCACAGAGCTGTGAATAAGGGTATCATACTTAATTTTTTTCTTTCGTTTTTTCCTGTTCTCAATTCCTTTTATTTATCTTACCAAGCCGCCCTATTAGAGCACCTCCCCCCTCTGGAGCTCGGAGCCGCCGCCGCCGCCGCCGAGCCGCTGGAAAGTTTGTAGGTACTTAGTTTTTTGTTAAGCCTTTCAACGCACCTCCAAAAAAACATTCCCATATTAGAGAGGTAGCAACCTCACGAACAAAGCTGTGTATGATACTCATTTGTGCAATGCATACGTTATAGTACAGACTAGTTCCCCCCTGCCCCCGTTGTCGCCACCACCGTTGCCTTCCCCCTACATCATCCATCTCCTCATCGTTCAGGACCAGAGGCGGAAGCAAAGCAGAAGCAAAGCAGAAGCAGAAGCAAGTCAAGCAGAGAGACGCAGGACGAGATCGAGTAGCAGCAACCTGCATAATTTCTCCGGTCCAGTCAAAACTTCAGCCCTCAATCCTTTCTACCCTCTCTGCTCACCCACCTTAACCCCTACCCACCTACCCACCTACCTCACACATACCTCCATACCCTACCGGCAACATATATCATACATTCTCCTGATTTTCCTCCCTGTCCTCATACAACCTTACGTCGTTGTCTCCACCCCAGACAGTTTTTATCGCTTTCGATATCTCTTCTTGTCACTCCAAGTGTTGCCCGCCGCCCCTGTGTGCTCAAGAGGCTCGCCGCTGTGTCAGCAACTACAGAACCACACCTCTTTTTTTTTCTTCCTCTTTTCTTTTCCCTTTGCTGGTAACCGCCTGCAACCTGGGTCTGGTTGTTCCCTTCTCAAATCGCACGCTTCCCGTCCGTCGTAATCCTGCAGCATTTCCCTCCTCCGCTGTACAGTACCCCTACAAACACGAAATCGGTACAGTACCCGCCATCTTTCTTTCTAGAACGGGCGCCCAACTTTTTCTAGCGACAGTCCCGTACCGCTAGCTTGGTGGTGTCTTTTCCCGAACCATTTCCCTGCTAGCCAATTCGTTGCCTAGCACACATTCCCTTTCCCTGAACCATTTTCTACCCCCTTCCCACCACTACAGTGCACCCCTGTTGCCCCTCCCCCTCCTCTACATTTACAGCTCCACCCCCCCCCTCCATCTTCGCTCCCATACACACCACACACACTACATCCTCTCTGGTCTTACTTTCGGGGACAGAAAATAATAAGTTCAACAACTCGGACACACGCACCCCCTTCCTCATCCCTCTTGTAGACTCATCCTTTCCCCTTCCCTCGACATCTTCGTAGTCCTGAACCTCCCGACTTCGCTGATCTGCACTTTGTCACCTGTTTGGAAAGCTATCCTGTCGTCAGTCACCTGGCGAGCTATTAAAGTCGGCCTACATCCCAATTCCACTGCTTCTCTTGACAACGCACGAAGACGCACGAATCCACTCCCACCACTTCAACGTCTTCCTCTTCGTGGTTCTCGCAGTCCCCGAAATTGGTTACCATTCTACCTAGCATTGGATATCGGATCCTATTGTTCAACGTGTGCCCAGGTTTCAGTCACCAAGACAACAGTTGAAGAAAAGAAAGCTAAGATTAAAAGCGGTACCGCATCGAACTAGAGGTTGTTTCTCGGTTCCTGAAAGTTGTACGGGTACCGTCAGAAGTTGGCAAGTGGACACAAGAGACCTCTTGCATCGACATATTGCCCCTTGGGGTATCAAATATTAAAGTCGGAAAACGTGGCTCACTATGCCAGTCACAAGTAAGTGTTGCTATGTTGCTATATCTTCCTACGCTTCATGCACTCCACAAATCTACCAATCTCTCTTTTTTATTTATTTTATTTTCTTGTCCCATTTTATCCCGCTCCCTTCCGCTCCCTTTCGTTCCGGTTCGAGATACAGCCTCTTTTCTATTCATATGTTGCCTAGAGTTGAGTCAATACACGGACAAGGCTAACAAGCAACCTCCCGTCGCAGTGCCCTTTTCTAGTCCGTCCGCATTCAAGAAGAATACTGCGACAGATTTAAGGGTCGACATCCCGCACATTGCCAACGGCATGCAGGCTTACAATTCAAATTCCTCGCATAACGGAATGGGTAGCGGAAATGTGCCCAACTCGCCAGCTCCTTTTATTAAAAATGAGCCTCAAGACGAGTCTAACAGGTTCTTGCATCAGGCTCCCTATCACCACCACCCGGACGCATATAACATGCCCGGTCACCAGCAGTTCCACCAACAAGGTGGCTTCAATGAGCCAAATTATAATGCTGGCGACGGCAGCATCGACCCGTCTGACTTGACCATGTCTCCCTCGATGCCAATACAGCAGAATGGGGGTTTTATGGAGACATATCCTAACTATTCGTCCGGCAATAATAATGTGGGTTATATGGGTAGTGGTGGGGCCGTCGATGATGAAGACCTGCTTGCCCTTGGCAACCTGGACGAGCGTCACCATGTCCAAAATAACGGACAGTTTGGAATAGACCACCACCAGGAGCAAAGGCATGGGCATGGCGATGACTACTCCTCCCTGCAGCATTTCTTTCCCGACATGGATGGGGGTGGGGATAGAAGCGCAACCGGGGAAAACGGTGCATCGACTGGTGCCACAAATGTTGACCCGGCATATTCTCACACACCTGATAACAACCCTTCGACTGAATCCCCCTTTATTCATTCATTCCCCCCTCAACAGTTCCGGCAATTGCAGCATCCTTACAACGGAGCAACTGCTGATACACCCTCTTCATACAACGCCTCTCCGGTTATCGGGTCAGATTCAACACAAGGGACCAACTTTGACCAGTATATGGCCCCTGGAAAGCGAAAGAGTCGGCCAGTTTTGGAAGGAAACGGCTCCCGTAAAAGCCCCAACTCGCGATCTCCACATACCCCCAAGACCCCGGGTATTGGCTCTCTCTCGCTTGGCGGTGAATCCTCGAGCGTCCCTGCCCAACCCATCCAGACCTCCCATATGGCTTCCCACCGCCATCACAAATCCCTCTCGAACCAGTGGGACGGGACACCGGGCTCGCAAATCTCTTATATTGACTCGCCCCTCTCCTCTCCAGGAGCCTCCCATGTTCATCCTCAAATCTCGGACGTTTTTAAATCGGGGAAGCACGCTTCGCTGCCAGCGAAAGTTGAGAACCAGGTCGGCGCAGGACCTGCTTTCCAAACTCAGGAGGCAAAGAGACGTCGTCGACGAGAGAGCCACAATATGGTTGAGCGTAGGCGCCGTGATAACATAAACGAGCGTATCCAAGAGCTCTCCCATCTAGTTCCTCAGCACCGACTTGAAGATGAGAAGGTCCGAAAGCATCTGGTGAACAATGGCTCTTTGTCGCCTTCGGTCGGCCCGAGTGGGAGCCCCCCTCGTGCCACCTCTATGTTAGCTGGGGGTGTTGGTCGAAGGGCAAGCGGTGTCCCTACTTCTGCCGGAATTACTGGTGAGGAGAAGGACAAGGGCCCTAACAAGGGCGATATTCTCAATGGCGCTGTCGGCTGGACACGGGACCTAATGTGGGCTCTTCATGCAAAGCTTGAACAAGAGAAGGAGCTACGGGAACTCGTTACCAGACTAGGCGGAGCGTACCCATTCGAGCAGACTGAGGACGATAAGCGTATGTCGTCTGAATTATACACCGCCATTGAAAAGAATGGTGTCCAAAGCTTTCACTACTCCCGAGCGCCCGGGTCCACATTGAGGGTGCCTGGATACACTGACTACGCAGGCAATGCGGTGGGTCCTGGAGGGAATGTTCTTTCCCCACGTGTCAGTCCATCGCGCTCGGGTGGAAAACCTTCTCAGAATGGAGGATCCTCTCGGGGAACACCCCAGCAACAGTCACAGTTTTGGGGCCAGAATGGCGATGGCATGGCGTTCAAAGAGGAGGATGAATATAACTCTATGGACATGTCATAACCTTTTGTGAAGACGATAGTACCTGTACAACTTCCCCTTTATGGGCGACACTGCCGGTCATTCTAGAACATCCCGGCTGTACACGTTATAAAACTTCCTGGAGCATATAGTCTTGGGCGAGCGTACGGTTAGTATTATGTCTTTTTTTCCATTTTCCATTTTTTTCTTTTCGCTATTGGATGTTCGTCATACCGCCTTCGCAACCCGCGGGAGTATATGGAGTCGGATGGGCTTTTTGTAAGTTCTGTTGTATTAGGAGGATTCCCTATTTTTGTGCGTCCTTGTTACGCGATACCAGCTCTCTCTTTCCATTTTAGTTTCTTCAATGTCCCGCTTGCGACGAGATTACGATGAATAGTTGCAGCATGTTACACGAAGAATCTTCTCCCAGTTCCCCCCCCCTATTTAAGCTATCCTACTCTTTCATATACTTAATACGTTTCTCGTGTATAAATAGGGTAGGATATCATATGGTTCCTCCTACTTGTTTTTCATTCTTCTATGCCTTTCTTTTATGTGAGTTTACCGGATTTTATTTATTTCCCTCATTTTTCTTGGGGGGGTTTATACGGATCCTGTAACGGCTTTCTTGGTTTCCCATGCTTTTCACTAGTTCTTTTCTTTCCTCGTTCCGTTTTGCTTTTTTGGCTTGCATGAAGATTTTGTTATTTTCCATTTCTCTCTTCCATTCCATATTCCCTTCGTATCATTTCCTACATACTTTTCCCTATCTGTTTACTTTTACTTTTCGTTTTCATTTATTTCCCCTCATTTCTTTCTCTCTCCCTTTCCTCCCTTTCCTTTCTTCCATCAACGGTGTAACGAGGGCTTTATTCATAAGTTAATCTCAAATATTTCTCTATCTATTCCTAGCTGGCTTTTTTTTTGATTACCAACCTTTCGTTCCCCAGGGCGGCATCTTACCCAGTCGTCTTTTAACTATTTTTTCTTCTTTTTTCTTTTTCTTTGCGCTATTCATTCCAAGGTTAGCTGGCTTGCGGACCCCGTACCTACCTACTTCACTTAAATTTCGGAAGCTAAATCCGTCTTAAACCTTCTCATATTTGTGGCTCTCGTAAAGTGCAATAGAGTAGTTAACCACCTCCACATCTTCTCACTCGTCTCTTTCACCCCCCCCCCTTCTGCCCCCCTCCTGCTCTTGCGCTATTATCACACACGCCCATTCAAAAGGTCTCGTGAGTCAAAAAGTGATGACTACTATAACTAGTCCCTCGGAAATTCTCGGATCTGACGCGACCAAAAATACGATACTTGTAAAAGAACAAAATGGAAGGATGATGAAAAAAAAAATAGTCTACTCCCTTATATGCGATGCCATATCGTGGGTATTATTCTTTGGGTAGCTTGGTAGCGTTGAAGGGTCAGAAGGGAGGAAGGGAGGAAAGGGGGTCGAGAGGGATCTGCAGTACGACGACGACGACGACGGGATATCATTCATACCAAGTCGTAGCTCGTCGGGGGGTATCTATCCATCTACCGTATCTATTAAACATGCACAGTTCCGGAATGGCCCTCCTCCTCATTTTACGGGGGCATATCATAGCTTGTGGGGAAGTTGGTTTTGAGCACCACGCCTCCACCCCTCCCCCCAATTTTTTATTTTATTTTTTATTTCATTTATCCTACAAAAGTGCAGTCAAATTCGGGATTTTTATTATTTCATTTTTTATTTCGGAAGGTGGAAGGAAGGGAAAGAAGGGACGGACGGGGAAGGAAGGAGGAGGGGAGATATTTGTGATATGTGATGCTTGGAAATGCCTACGAAGGTGGGGTACTAGTATCATTTCATACCGCTGGTATGCTGTCGCCTCTTGGGGTTGAAGTTGGGATGAAGGGATGAAAAGTTTCCATCCCTCCGTCAATCTACCCCTGAAGGGGCTGCCTAC